TGGTGGATCTGGTGATGGCCGTGCCGATGGCGACTGCACTGATGATGACGATGACGATGACGACGAGGATGATACTGGTGCCGCCGCTGCTGGCGCGATCTATGATGATGATGATGATGATGATGATGATGGCGACGACGATGCCGATGATGGCGACGATGCCGCGCGCCGGGGCCTGCGCTTCGCCGCGACAGGCGGCGCCGCGAAGCCGCGCTTGGAAGGCCGCGCGGGCGAGCCTGGAAGCCGGGCGGCCGCGCGGACAGCGCGCGCGGGCAGGCATTCGCGGCGCCCCCGCGCTGCCTCGCAGAGGAGAGGACGGAGGGCGCGAGAGGTGCGGGGCCCCTCGGGCCCCCGACCTGGCCAGGTTTCCAGCGCGCCCCCCCGCGTCCTCGACCGCCGCGCGCCAGTGCAATGCTCCTCGGCCAAATCGGGGCCGGCGCCGGGAGCCATCCGAGACGGCTCCAGATCCGGCCTGCTCTGGGGGGTGGGCGCAGGCAGGGCGGGCGCGTCCGCGGAAATGGCCAGAAACAGCTGCCTCGCGTTCGCGGGGCGGGAAGTACGGCGCCGCTTGTCCGCGTCGTTTGGGGCGCATTTCCGACGCGAGTCTCAGTTCCCGGGCCTTCCAATTCCATGGGACAGTAAGGGGCCTGGAAGAAATCGTGGAGAGCGCTGCGCGCGCGTCAGAACCCCCAAGCTGTAGATCATAATCTCAGACACGATTCCTCTCCCCAACGCAAGAACGGGGGCCCCCAATACAAGCGAACGACTCCGCGTGGTATCATTCGAATTCCGAACGCGCGGAAGGCGCTGCAAGGTTGATATCGCGCCGGCGCCAGGGAAACACTCGCGGATCTGAAGGGCGTCGAAATGTCGGATACTCATTGAGACTATTGAGTGGGCCATAAGCGTACCGAGCGGGCCGAGATGCCCCCGTCGTGGCCTCGCGCCCAGGTGGGCAACCTCTAGCGCGAACTCGCGAGCTGGCTGGCAATTGCAAGTTTACTTCCGCCGGCGGCGCCGAGCGCAGGGTCGAGCCGACGCGCCGCCGCGCCGCCAGCGCTGCGCGGGCCAAAATGGCAGCGGCACGAGGAGGGGAGAAGAGAAAGAAGAGGAGGTGGAGGAGGAGGAGAGGGAGGAGGAGGAGGAGGAGGAGGGGGAGGGGGCGCAGGAAGAGGAGCACGAGGATGAGGGGGAGGAGGCAGAAACTGCAGGAGGGGAAGGATAAGGACGACGACGACGGCGGAAAGGGGGAAGAAGGGCAGGGGGGGAGGCGAGAGGGGTGAAAGGAAAGGGGGCGGTGGGGGTGGAGCGTCAACAGGGCCCCGAAAAAGTAGGAATTCCAGGAATCGGCGGACGGCCCCCGCGGGGCGACCCAGTGCTACCACGCGGCGTCAACTCTTCTCTCCCCCTCTTCCCTGGGCAGGGCTCGGCTGGGCAGCGCCGGCGCGGTTTGGGCTGGAACCCGCGCGCCTTGCTCAATGATGAGGTTGGTGATGGCGGTGAATCTGGCGATGACCGTTTGATCATGACGATGGCGAAGCTGATGGTGATGTTGATGACGGCGATGGTGCTGGCGATGGCGATGCTGATATTGTTGGCGATGATGATGAGAATGATCATCGCGATGGTGAGGTTTGATTTTCCGTCTCCGAGCCGAGCCCGCGCTTGTCCATCATTGCACGGTAAACGCATTCGCTGTGAACGAACTCGCTTGACAGCACGGCATGGCCGATGGAGTTTCGCGAGGGGGCGCCGCGATTCACCGGGGTTCCCAGATCAGGGAAGTTGCCGCTCCACAAGGTGCACGAACTGGCGACGCTCGGGGTGCATCTTCCATGCAATCCATCCACTGGGCTGCCAAGCGCTTGATTCTAAAATTGGCGATGCGACTCTGGATGCAGAATCACATAGTTCCTCCAATGCAGACTCGCCATCTCTTTGTTGTTGCCCGACCAGTTCGACAACGCTTCATGCGCGTTCTACGCTTTGGAAACGCAATCCACAACCAACGTGTCACGGACAGTCTCCGGCCGATACATCACCGCCAAGATGAGCTGAGCAGCTTTAAGCGTGCGTCTAGACTCAGCGGCCTCCCAGCGCGGTTTTTTCCTTGCTTCTACAAATTCAAACCTGATGCTGTCGATCGCAGGCTGAACGAGGCCAACTCGACTGCTTGCAGCCTTGATGAGGAACCTCAATCCGCCGAGCGCGCGCAGGATTCGCGATGGGCCCCCTCCGCTTGACTCTGAATATCTGGCGCGCCGCGTTGCCGAAGAGGCGCGCCAATATGCCGAGGCCCCCCGCGCGCATCAGGCCCGCAGATGCGCCCCCCAACGACGCCCCAGGCGCGCTCCGCAACGCTGACGCGCATGGTCCACGCGTAAACAAATGATTGGTACATGCCGTGTCAGAGACGATGGTAGACCGCCAAACCGCCGACAAACTTGCACCCGTGAATGGGCGAACCCCTGCAGCAGCTGCACCGCGCGCCCAGCGCGCGTTCTCTGATGGGCCCTCGGCTCTCCAGCCGCGCAAGTTCAAGAGCTCTTTCAATCGAGCCCAATGGCCGCGTTTCTGCAGCGCGGCGCCCTGGATCCTGAGGGGGGGGGAGGGGCCTTTCTCTGCGCGAGTTGCCGTGTCGCCCCTTCGCCTCGACTCGGAGAAAGGTTGGCCGTCGCGTCGCCTGGGCGGGCGCTCGCCGACAAGCGGGGCCTGGAACATCCACGCGACGACCTGCAATGCATAATCGGATGTGCGGCGGCGGAACAACTGCGCGGAACAACTGCGCGAGCAATGCCGATCCTTGCTGAGCTGGGCATTGAGGCAGCTCCACAACACGATGTAAACACAATCGCCTTTGTTAGCGGGGGCCGCGTCGCCCCAGAGCCCGAGAGCCGGCCCGAGAGCAGCCATGTCGGGAGCGCCCTCGAGCCCCGCGCGTCCCCCCATTCAATCCTCCGAGGAATCGCGGGAGAGCCTTCTGGTAGGCCGGGCCATTCTGCATCGGGGGAAGCCTCCATGATTTCGTGCGGAAGGAGGATATGAACCTCATCCTGCTACTGCGCACAGGAAATGGGGTCATAGAAAGTGCACGCTGCCACGTAAGACCCCGGGGAGCGCGGGGCCTGTTGAGGGGGCGAAAAAGCACTTGGAATTCGGAGGTGGCCGAGATCTGCCCGTGCACTTCGTCTTTAATGTGTTTCCATTTCTCCTCCGTCTCGATCGCCGAATTGTCCGTGACAGTCGCCGCTGCTTTGCGCTTTAGCTTGACCGCGCCCTCGTTCCAGAGCATGCGGACGTGTTTGGCCTCGCCCCCATGACTGTCAACGAGGTGCCCCTCGATCAAATGCTCCGTCGCGCCCCCGTGCCTTGAGAATCCGGTTATCAGCAAACCAAAATTTGGTGCCCCCCCAGATGTCCCTCGACGCCTCCTGGACGCGCTGGTAGAAACCCTTTTTCCGCCGCCTCCGCGGTGAACTGGATGACCCCGGCGCGCGCCAGATCCGCGAACGCGAACACCCTCTCCATCTTAGTCCTCCTCCTTCAAAAAGGCCTCCACCTTGGACACCAACTCCTCCTGCTTCAGCTCCTCCGTGAAGCCTGCGACGATCACCTAGCGGGGTCCGATGTCCTCCTGATTATCCTCCTTTGCTGCTGGCCTCTCCTGTTCCTTCTGCTTCGTGCGCTCCATGTCCGCACGACGGCAGCGAACCACCCCCATGGCTAAATTGGCCATCTCCGAAGCCCTCTCGGCCTGAAGTCGCACGGATTTCATTTCGTCCGCAAGCCTGCTACCTCCCTCCCCAATGGCTTGAAATGCTGTGCAAGCATATTGGGGACCTCTCGAATCTGTTTCATCAAACATCATTCCATGTCCTTGTCCTCCTTCCCACCGCCCCTCTTCATCAACTCGCCCTCGTCCTCCTCCCACGGGTAGGTGCTGGTGTTTCGATCGAAACGTGGTGTTCCGCCGATGCGTTGCCTTTTGCTTCTTCCTCACCGACGTGTTACCCATGTGATGCTCTCGCTTGTCGGCCCAGCACGGTCCCAATGTGCCAACAACATGCGTCACATGCCCATCTGCGCGATCCACCCGGCATGGTATCTCCACAGGTGTCACACTCTACATATGATGCATTTTCTCGAAATACCCATTGCACTCCTCGCAACTCATGATCGTTGTAAGCAGGCGCTGGAGGTCACCAATCCAGCTGCAGAACACAGACAGCCAATAATACGGAAGAATGGAATTACCGATGCAAGCCGAAACCCAGATGGCATACTTGAGCCTAGATGAAATACTTGAGCCCAGATGGGGTACTTGAGCCACAACAATACTCTATAAAGACACTGTTCACTTTTTGTTGTGACGGGGCCACTCTCTGCGCCGTAGGAAAGGCAGACGGAAAAGCAGGAACATCAGGACGACAAAATACAAGAGCAGGAAAGGGACCAGGAGGAGGAGAAGGGAGAAGGGGAGGAGGAGGAGGAGGAGGAGGAGGAATGTGAGGAGCAAACGAGGAAAAAGATGAGGGAGAGGGGCAAGAAGAGGAGGAGGAAGGAAGGCGGTTTGGAACACCTTCTGAATGCTTCAGAATACTATGGGACGGTCTGGGTCGGTTTGTTCGTATCCAAGGCTGCCTGGAGGGTCACAGTGTGGCCTCCGCAGGGCCCCTGGGCGTCCGCAGAGGCCCCCAGAGACCTCGGATGTTCCTGGAGGGGTCCCCTGAGGCCTCTGGAAAAGGGAGGACGAGATGGACAAGGAGGAGGGGGAACGGGGGGATACAGGGGAACTGTGAGGTCTTCGTGGAAACGATTGGTGGGTTACTAAGCCCAACTAAGGAACCATTAAACCAGACTCGCACGTGTTCAGGCAAATTCTGAGACTGCACGAGCCGAGCTCAGCTGACTAAGCGGGATTACGCCGGATTCGGTCGGTTGCCTCCCACACTGACCTCCCAGCAGCTCCATCCGAATTGGGGGGAACAGCGCGAGAAGACAGAAGGTCCTCCATGCAAATGGCGCAGGAGTCCATCGAGATGTCGCCGGCCCGCACCGTGCGCTGCACGACGAGCGCGGTGGTCTTGAGGGAGCGGTCCGTGACGCAGTGGCGCGCGCGCTCCAAGAGGGCCATCGCCCCCGGCGGGGCGCGTCGGACTGCCATCTCCACGGTCGTCGCTTTTCGGCGGGCGAAGGGCGGTAGGTCACCAAGGGCTGGCACTCAACCCTGTCTCAAAGGGGGAACCACCCCGACTCCCCTACCTGGCGTATGGAAAACAATCCAGGGCGTTACTTGACAAACAAACCTGCCCTGCTCGACTTCTTCGGAGCGCTTACTCACAAGGCTTCGATTGTGGGGGTGGTTGTCATGAGGGTGGTCATTCTGCCTCCGAAGTCTACCACGTGTGGCTACATCAAAGGGCCCATCCAAGATGAATAAACATGTGCACGGGCGTGCTGCTAAGCGCGGATTTGCACAGGAAGCTCAAAATTTGCACGCCCGTGGGACGCCAGAAGGGTGGAAAGTGGGAAACGCCCCGCCCCCCCCCCCGAAAAAAAAAGCGCACGGGGAAGGACGAGGAGGATGATGAGGAGGAGGGTGCTGATAATGATGAAGAGGATGATGATGTGGATGATGAAGAAGATGCTGATGCTGATGATGATGCTGTGATGATGACGACGATGGCGATGATGATGATGATGATGATGATGATGATGCTGATGATGAAGAGGATGATGATGTGGATGATGAAGAAGATGCTGATGCTGATGATGATGCTGTGATGATGACGACGATGGCGATGATGATGATGATGATGATGATGATGATGATGATGATGATGATGATGATGATGATGATGATGATGCGGATGATGCGGATGATGATGATGATGATGATGATGATGATGATGATGAGGAGGAGGAGGAGGAGGAGGAGGAGGAGGAGGAGGAGGGGCAGGACATCAAGCAATGTGAGATCGTGGCATGAGCGAGGACGAATGCCATACCAAAAAGAAAAACAAAACACATCGGCGCGGGCGATACGGAATGACATGCGGTGCAAGGCGATAGCGAAATCAGGCTGGAAAACCACACCGCCCATGCAGAGTCGCTGGGCCTGAACCTTGCACCGCTCAGCGCGGGCGCTAAAAGTCAGCAGCTGCACGTGTGCCCGTCCGACGCACAGAAAAAATGGCAGAGAAACAAATGAGCGCGCGCCAGCAAGCGTTTTGGCGGCTCCTCGATCAGTCACCCAGCGACTCGCGCGACAGCTTCGGCGTCTTTGGCATCCTCTTTGCACATTCGCGTAACCCTATGCGGTGATGACGGCGGGACTCGCACAGGTACCCAAAGCGATTGGGAAAAGGGCGGAAGAACGGAGAGGACGAAAGGAGAGCGGGGAGGGAGGGGAGAGGACAAAACAGCACATATCACCTGTATAGCGCCTCCTGCCGAAACAGAGGAGCCAGGCCAGAAACGGCCGGCATCACTGCAAGAGACTTCCAACAAGTGAATCGTCGAGACACTACAAAAACGAGAAAGCCCGTGAGGAGGACAGGTCAAGGAGAAGAAGCGAGCAAAAAGAGCGACCCCATACCGAAGGGATGCAACTCGAGCTCGCTCCGAAGTCACCCGCGAGTTTCTGGGCAGGACGGGGCGAAACGCCCGGCAAGTACGACCACCTGGCAGGACGCCGGCGCCGGTTGCGCGGAAAGACGGGCCCGCGGGCAGATGGCGCGCCTTCTCAAGAACCGCCCCCTGCGCGAAGCCACCAAGGGCAAGCCAAAAAAACACCACGCAAGACATCACACAAGCTGCAATGGCACCGACTTGCCAGCGACGACTTGGACGAACATTTAAGGAGGGTAAAGAAAGCGTCCTCCTGGAGCGACGCTGGTGCCACATTTGCCCGCCATGCGGCTTGGACTGGGCCACGCACGCAAGAAGAAGGCATCTGCCAGCGTAGTCGTTTGGCAAGACGCACCTGGAAAAAATCTGGGGTCGCCGCCCCGGCAGGCCGCGCCAGGCCACAAACCATAGGAAAACAAGCGACCGCCCCCCGACGACAACGACAAAGAGGAGGGATGGGGATGGAGGCCACCGTAGGAAGAGAAAAGGAAAACAAGCGAAAGCAGGGGGAGGGGAGGGAGGGAAAAGAGCTGGGGCCCCCCAGGGGGAAGCATGTGGCTGGAGCCAACTAGCTGCCAGCCACGGACTCGGAGCACCCCGACAGGGGCGGAAATACGGGCATTTACTTCTAGCACGAGCGCCGAAGAAGAGGGGAGCAAAAAGGAGGGGGGGGGATGGGGGGAATCCGAGCAACGGAGCCAACGAAAATGTCCGCGGCGTCGCTGGCAAATCTGCCTGCGTTGCTGCCGCCGCAGCCGCCGACGCCGCAGCTGGCGAGACCGCGGGCGGCCTGGTTCAAATTTATTCACACTGATAATGCAGCAAATTTAATCAGTGAAACAATGGAATGGATTGAAAGATTTTCAAAATTAAGAAAATTACTGGTATTGTGTATAATACAATGTCCTTGGAGTATTGATACCGTTGACCATGCATGACCAGGAGCAATACGTTCATCCAAATCGACACAATTGGCACCGCTTGTGTCATCGCCGCACTCGCTGCCGGTCGCGCCAGACACCAGCCACGGCCCCCTCGGCCCTGGCGTGGTCCCCGACTGCCCCGCGGACGGACTTTTTGCAGCGCCCGCGCGCCGTCGGCCGACGAGGATCCGTCTTGATGTCTGGCCGCGTCCGTGGCGCGGTGCGTGGTGTAGGCGCCAAGCGCGCCCAGTGCCAGTAGCTGGTCGCTGCGCCGGTTGTCGCGGGCGCCAAGCCACCAGGGAAGAAGCCACTCGTCCGTGATGTTCAGTACGGTGGCAGGGGCGCGCTTCACAAACCAGCGCGCTGCGTAATGCTCCACGCTGTCCTGCGCCATGTCTAGGGAGCCCACACAAGGACGTACGCGCCCAGCGATGTACATGAGCACGGCCCCTCGATTCGCGAGACCAACCGCGTGATGCGAACATTTGTGCAATGCGTGCTCTCGAAACCAGCGTGGATCCATGCACATGTGCGTCCTTTTTTCGCTCCTGAATGTCACGACAACCGAGCGCGCAGAGATGGCGGGGGGCCACCGCGCTGCGGAGACCGCCGTGCTGCGAGCCACCCGCTCCGCGCGGTGGCGAACACACGACCGCGCGCACCCTCGGCGGGACCTGGCCCCGCGGCACTTGAGTGCGTTCCAGGAACCTGCTGGCGACGACGCGTGGAGCACGAGGAAGAGGACGAGGAGGAGGAGGAGGAGGAGGAGGAGGAGGAGGAGGAGGAAGAGGAGGAAGAAGAACAGAAGGAGGAGGAGGAGGAGGAGGAGGAGGAGAAGGAGAAGGTGTTGGAGGAGAACGCCGAACGAGCCCCAGCTTGTAGCGCACGCGGATGTCCACTGCTGGCGCGTCCCATCTCCAGAGATGCGCACGCGCGGTCGCCTGGAAGCGGTGTCGCGCAGCCTGCCAGCGGTCCATCGCCAGGGGCTGCTAGGGCGCGCCCGCCAGCTCGGCGACGATGTCCTCGACGCAAATGTCCTGTCCTCGAAGGCGGTCTCCGCTGCGCTGCAGCACTAACTCAGCCATTTCGACACCCTGGCCATGCGCAACGTGTACGGAGACTCCGAGCACCCGTCACGGACTCGCCGCGTAAGCCTCTGGAGCCCATCTGGTCCGAGGCCGCGGGTCTCGCAGGCGGCCACCCAGAGCTGGGCCGCCGGCGCCAGGACGGCCCGCTTTCCAGAGGCGTACGGCATCCCAGACAGAGCACCCAGATTCCACAGGTCCACAAGTCATCCAGCATCGCCCACTGACCCGGGCCTGGAGCAACGCGGCGGCGAGCTCCCCCTTCGGCCTGCCGGACATGCTCGCCCACGTCAGTGGCGACTTGGGCAATGCAGCTCAGGTCCGGGAGGGCGTAGGTTTGCACACGAAGGTGGCGAAGTGTAGCCCGAGCGCCGATCACTGCCAGCCGGCAACGTGGTCCCGAAACCGCCCCACGGCGTGCTCCCAGGTCTTGCCCACTTTGCCAAGGCCAATGAGGCATCCCAAGTATGTTGCTCCCGAGCGGAACGACAGGGCGGCCCGCTCTGGCACCGAGCGCGCGATCAACGCCTGCACGTCGGCGCGCGCGTCGTCCCACAGCGGGATGGGATGCCCACTGTTTTCTCGATGTTGACCTGCATGGCAGAGAGCTGTCCGAACTCCTCCAAAGCTGCCGCAAAATCGGAAATTGCGTTCTCACGTTCACCAGCACCACGTCAACGTCGTCCGCAAATGCGTGTACCAGACATGCGCTGCACAAGCGGACCTCCAGCACGTGAAGGAGCAAGTCCATGCACGCTGCGAATATCAAGGGCGAGAGAGGGTGATTCCTGATCCAACTTCAAAACCTGGCCAAATTTGCAGCCGCCCGCGAAACCTGCGACATGTGCGCAGTTCCCAACACGCCTGGGTCTCGTTTGGCAGAACTGGCGACAGTTGCGCAGTTCGCAACACCTAGAGAGGGCGAGGTATCGCTTGGCTCCCCGTGGGACCGCACTCCGCTGGACATGCCTGGAGCACTTAAAAGGGGCGACTCTCCGCTGGATCTCGCAGGACCTCACGACGGCGGCGACGCGCGCGCCGCCCGCGGCACCGACGGAGGGCGAGGCCGCGCTCGGACCCCCGTGGGGCCGCGGCGGCGCTGCCGTTGGCAGCTCCCCCGGGAGGGCGAGGCCTCGGTTTGCGGCCGATTGCTGCTTTGCGGAAGGGGGGAGGGGCTTCCTCCTGCTGGTGCTCCTCCTGCTGAGTCTTGGCATTGCTCGGACATCCATTCCCCGTGCTCGAGGCCTCGAGTCCCCGGGAGGGCGAGGCCTCGGTTGCTCGGCGGAGGGCGAGGCCGATGGTTGCTTTGCATTTCTTTGCATTGGTCTGCGTTGCTTTGCATTTCTTTGCATGGTTGCCCATTGTGTTACGTTGCTTCGCATTGCGTTGCGTGGCGTCTCGGGAGGGAGAGAAGATGGCAACGGCACATACGTCATGACGAGGAGGGCAAAGATGAAGGGAAGAGTGGAGTCCCGTGGGGCCGCACTGCGCCGGATGAAAAAGCGCACCGTTCCACCCGGAGCCGCGGCAACCGACGAGG